AATATTATTCACGGAAGGGATGGCAAGACTTTTAGCTTTGGGAACCTCAAACCGCATCTCGTCCTAAGTGCAGTATTGTTAATTGGATTCGTTTTTGCTTATAAAAAATCTCAGAATCAGGGGGCCATCTTAAAAAATAAGATTATGCAAAATGAATGTCTGGAGAGTTAATCAATTTCGACAACATAAAAAAAGATAAATAACATTGTTGGGTAAGCAAAATTGTGTCAAATTCATCAATCGCATAATTAAACCAACTGGATTTGCCACCAAATACTTTAACATATTGTCTCATAACTCTAATATAGTAGTACTGAGTGTAATTAGGCTTGGTTATATACTATACCCTTAAACTTGTTGTATGCTCTGACAATTGGACAGATTTAGTCAGAATGGACATGAATCACGAAAAGTCGGCGCCCCGGTTTTTCGTTTTCTCATTTTTCGTGGAGAGGATTCTTATGTTTCGATTAATTTAGTGAGTTTGTATTCAGACTTTCATGTCTGTATTCCAAATTCCCCTAAGGCTAACGATATAAATCGGATAAGGTATAAATTCTGCGTACTCCGAGCGCGAATGCAGTTTTATGATGCATGACATAGCGGAATGGAGTGAAAAAATCAAGCCTTATTTTATATTCATCGTTGGTAGCCTATTTATCATTCGTTTAAACTCAAAACTCATCTCATTTTAATAGGTACTAAGACCTCAATTTTTCCGGAACATCATTTTATTTTATGTCTTTATTTGCTACCCAACGGGGTATTAAAATTATATTTCACCTTTATTAATCCATCCTGTCTCCACTTTCTCTAAAGGAACTCCGACTCATTCACATCCTATTTTGCATGCTCTTTGTATATCTCTAGGCCGACGGAATTCATGGTTACACGCCTAATCCTAAAGATCTCTCCAGTGTGAATGTGACCAAAGACATACTCGACCTGGCGGAACGCCTTGCTGACAATGCACATCAGCTTTGGGCCAAGCAGAAGATGGCCGAACTTGATTCACTTGGTAAGCTTCCGTCCATCGCCACATTATTCTCTTTCCCTCTATTCTCTCCCTATTCTAATATAAGCAATATAACACTTATCCAACTCGCTTTGCCGTAGTCATTTTAGACCGTGTCTAGTTTCGTAGCTGATACATTACATTTAATTCTTAAAAGATAGAGGAAATTAAAGCAATTATCGAAGTTTGTTTAGTAGTTTGAAGCCTTCATGCATTCCTTTGTTCTGAATAATGAGGCGAATTCGGTGCAATGAGGATCAAATATTTCGGTAGATATAATATGGGCCCTGAGGCCCATGGTATGGTATTTCATTAGACTTTCACTCTGAACCAATATAAACTGGATTCCTAGTCATATAAAACCTTACTCCGATCCTTTTTGCACATCTTGCCGTAGTGACCGAAGGCTCCAGGATAAACAAAAGACCTGGGTGCAGTCGACTCTGGGGAATTAGTTTAGAACGAGCTTGACAAGTTAATCTTTATGGGAAAATTACAACCACTAATTAAGCAAATTGATGATTTTTATAGATAAATGGGAAATAGGTATTACAATATATCAGCCTATGATATTGGCTCAGCATAAAGGAGATTTCAGAATCAGGAGGAGATTAAAGTACTTTTCGTGTCCGCTTGTTTGCTATTTTCATGGTG